CACTTACACACCATGCTTCCTGGGCAGCTCTCTTTGATCTCCTGCCTGTTCTCTGATCCTTTTGTCTGCACATGGTAGAGGCCTGTGAAACAATATTGAAAGTGAATATGAACTCTTCATGTGCCTGAACCACCCCCTCTCCATTCCTGCAGCTGTTCCTGACTGATAAGCTAACTGACCCATAGCCTTTAAGAATTTGTCAAAATTTTAGCAGATATCTTGACACCTGCTCTTATGGAGGCCACCTCTTTCTTGTGCCATGCCAAGGGCTACGTGGGGAACTTGCAAATCCAAATTTATGATATGTTCAGGTGAAATTATAATTTTGTTGATTTTTCAGCTTTTTCTTTTTACTAGAGTGGCAGTAACATTCTTTCCAGATCTCTACTTTCTAAGTAATGTCAGAATCTTCACATTATTGTTGAATTATATTGTTTCCATTTTTATTATTATATAAAGAATCTAGATTGGGCATATCTGAATTTAATTTTTCTTTAAAGTGTTGTTTATAAATACTTGTATATATTTTTGCTTATTAATTTACATATTTATAACTTCTTAAGTGATTGAAAAATGGTTATTTCTTAGTTTATTTCAAATGAATTGAGAATGTTTTCTATATCATCTTTGTTTTTTTTCTTTTGTGTTAAAGTCTGTATTTAAATTTCAGTTAGTGAACATACAGTATAGTTAATATACTGTAATATTAGTTTCAAGTGTACAATATAGGGATTTAACACTGCCATATAACACCCAGTGCTCATTACAGCAACTGCCTTTCTTAATCCCCATCACCTATTTAACCACCCTCCCTTCCCCTCTGGTAACAATCAGTTTGTTCTCTATAGTTAAGAGTATGTTTCTTGGTTTGCCTCTCTCTCTCTCTTATTTACCCCCTTATATTCATTTGCTTTATTTCTTAAATTCCACATATGAGTGACATCATATGGTATTTGTATTTCTCTGACTGACTTATTTCACTTAATGGAATATTCTCTAGCTTGTCCAATTGAAAAAATGGGCAGAAGACATGAATAGATACATTTCCAAAAAGACATACAGATGGACAGACACATGAAAAGATGTTCATCAGAGAAATACAAATCAAAACTACAATGAGATATCACCTCACACCTGTCTGAATGGCCCCTATCAACAACACAAGAAACAACAGGTATAGGTGAGGATGTGGATAAAGGGGAACTGTCTTGCACTGTTCATGGGAATGCAAACTGGTGCAACCACCCGGGAAAACAGAGGATTTTGAGGTTCCTCAAAAAGTTAAAAATAAAACTACCCTATGGTACAGCAATCACACTACTAGGTATTTATCCAAAGAATACAAAAATACTAATTCAAAGGTATACATGAACCCTGATATTTATAGCAACATTATCTACAAAATCAAATTATGGAAACAGCCCAGGTGACCATTGACTAATGAATGGACCAAGAAGAAGTGATATATATATATATATATATGCGCATATATATACACATACACAATGGAAAATGCTTGAGCCATAAAAATGAATGAAATATATTATGTTCTTTATTAAATTTGTGTTTGTAATTGATTTTAAAATGTACTAGTAATTTTGAAAAAATCAAGGGAGTGATGTGTATAAGTGTGTGTTTATACACACACATAGTCATTTGTTAAATCTTAATATTACATTATTCAGATCATATATATACTTAATTTACTTGATCTAATAGAATCTCCAGAATTAAGACCCATTACTATTTGGTTTCTACGATTTTCTTTACTTCTATGTAGCTTATACTTTCATTATTTATTTATTTATTTTTAAAGTTTATTTATTTATTTTGAGAAAGGGAAAGAGAGAGATAGAGGGAAGGACAGAGAGGGAAGGACAGGGAATCCCAAGCAGTCTCCATCTTGTCAGTGCAGAGCCTGATGCGGAACTCAAACCCACAAACCTTGTGATCATGACCTGAACCAAAATCAAGAGTTGGACACTTAACCAACTGAGCCACTCAGGTGCCTTTAGCTTATACTTTGAAATACTTCGACAATCAATCTTGTCATTCTAGATTTAATAGACATTCTAAAATACTAATGGGATATGTTTGAATATTAAAATTTAATTATCCAATATTTCCAGATATGCTTCAATTTTTGCGTATGCCCTAATTAACACACACACATGCACACACAAACACACACACACACACACAGTGAGTTGTCTAATTGCTGCAGTATCTAAAACTGCATGGCATATGGTGCAGTTGCACCAAAATTGACAATATGGAATAATATAATATTTCTGTCAACAATCAAATTTTTAAATGATGCAAAACCAACATGCTATGTGTTAATATAATATCTTTAATCTAATCTATATATTTACTTTTTCCCAATTTATTATAATTATTTCCCTAAAGAACAATTAATGTATCAAAAGGATGTTTATTGATCTAGACAAAGTCATGGATTATATTTTATTCATAAGCTCAAATGTTGAATGCTTGCTACTCTTTGCTAATAGTTCTGACCACAGTGCATAATTTGAATTAAGGGCAAAACTGGTTTGAAAGTTGGTGGGTAAGCTGAGGCACAGTATGGTAATAAATGATTATTTGCTTCTAATAGCTATATATTTCATGTATGTTGAGTCCCTATCTTGATTATCATGAGACTGTCCTCTTGTAATTTGTAACACTGAACAAGTATGCAGATCCAGGTATAAAAGAACATTGTAATTTTTCATAGAAGTGTAAAAATAATTACACACAGGAATAACAGACTTTTTTTTTAATTCAAGTAACAGTCTATTCTTTTGACACTAAGGCAATTTTGATTCATTTAAAAGTGTTGAAATGTGTCTTCAATACATTTATCAAACATTAAAACAGAATCATGTTTGGTATTTTAGTGTCAGTTTTATCCAAATTATACTATTTACAAAATTTAATTATGTATGTAAACATGAATCTGAAAACATTGAGAATTCTATCATTTCTCAGCTCTAGTATAAAAGAACAATTAAAACTTTTGTAAGTCACCAAGTGTAGCTGAAAATTACTGTAAAATAGCTGTGATGTACCCATTAAATACCACAGAGACAGCTACATTTTGCTGATGAATATTACTGAAAAGCTAAGTGCTTTTCCAATTACCAATAGGACTATATAATTTATTAAATACAAACAGACAAAAAAACAAAAATATGCTTGTATGCTCTGGTTAAGACTTAATCTCCTGGGAAATAGGAAAAGGTACCAAGACTTAAGACTGCAGACAAGAACTTCCATAGCATAACTTTCAGAATATATTGCTATGTATGAAGTTTCCCAGAAGAGGTAAATGATATTTGACTGTTTTCGGAAGGATAGTGAAAATCGGCTTTGATAAGGTGCTGCTATAGTTCTTTTTTTTTCCATTCATACAGGAACAGATAAATGGTAGATATATGAACAAGTGGCATTAGAAGTAGCCCCTGATGCCCTTTTAAGGCTGTAATGGTGGGTTGTCCATTTTCATCTTGTATTGATTTCCATGATAGTATTTATCCTTAATATTTTTCTCACTTGAAAATTTATATAATATGATAAATTGTTATATATGATTAAACATATTGTTTCATCCTGTGAAATCTTTTACTACTGAATGTAAAACCCAGTCAAATTAACTTATTTCTCAAAAAAAAAAAAACCCTATGAGGAATTTTTGAGTGGGAATCTGAAAGGCAATAAGGTTCTAAATTGCATTTTTTAAAAAATGCTTCAACTTTACATAGATATAATTAAATGGAATTTGGTTTGCCATACATGCTGACACTTCTCTGGGAATATATTCCATTGCCCAATATTTTCAGTTAATTTGCCTTTTATCTAGTTTCTTATTTTCTGACCCAAATCTGTTTCTCCCTCATGGCTTTCCTATTTCTATCAATGATGTCGTATTTAAAACCGGTCATGTTTACCTCTTTTTATGACCCATATTTATTCAGTTGGCATTTCATGTCTGGTTCCTTAATACACCTTGTTTCAAAATATGTACTTTCAAATTATTCTCTTATATTAAAAACTATAAACTCACCTTATTGCAGCAGCCTCTCAACTGATACCTCTTACTCTAATTTCCCTTTTCTTCAGTCAACTCTTCATTCCATTAAAAAATAATAAATTCTAGAGGCACCTGGGTGGTTCATTCATTTAGGCATCTGACTCCCGGTTTCAGCTCAGGTCATGATCTCACATGGTTCATGAGTTGGAGCCCCTACCTCAGGCTCTGCACTGATGTGTGGAGTCTGCTTGGGTTTCTCTCTCTCTCTGCCCCTCCCCTCCCTCACTCTCTCTGTCTCTCTCAAAATAAATAAACTTACAATATTAAAAAATAATAATATTAAATTCTAAAAGTGCTGTTTTCACTGCCATTTCTGTTTTCAAAAATTATTGAGTCCCTATTGTCTGGATTAAGTCCAAACTCTTTACGTTGGTTTCTTCTTCCTCTCCCACCCTCCCAAATCTGATCATAACCTACTTTTCTTACCTTATCAAATATCACCTTCTTTACATAAAACATTTACTTCTTCAGTTTCAGTCAAGGACCTCCCATATCATATTCCCATTCTTTGTTTCACACCTTTTCTCATTCCAGGGCCCTTCACTGCTATCACTTCATTTTTTACTCTGTTTAGTAGAAATATGCTATTTGATAGAGTTGTGTTTATTTGTTTGTTTGTTTGTTTGTTTAGTGCAGTTATCTCATAATTTTACCTTGGTTTTTCTAAACTTTCAGTGTTTACACATACCCACATTATCACTGACATCATTATTTGCAATACAACTTACATTTTCTATAAAAAGATAAACTAAATTACCTTTTTTTGATTGTTCTCACTTTATTTGCCCTCTACCTCATCCCATCAATTTTCAAAATAATGCAGAGTACCAGACTATGTTTGAGCACGCGGAGGAAAAACAAAGCAAAACACTGTTATGCGCGTTAAAACATTGACTGAACTCAAGCGTTAAAATTTAAGAGGTTTATTCTCCTTTTATCAAGCAATGTCTACAGACAGAGCATCCACATGGTGTAAGCTACTGAAGAAGGATGTATGAGACAGACTTACATTAAATCATTAGACACTTTATATGGTTCATGTTCACAAGGAAGAAAATCGCTAAAAAGGAAAGCAGGTAAGTAGAAACATAAGCTGATCTTTGTTGTTTATTAAATCTACCTCCCATAATGTTTCCTTAAGCTAAGAAGAAATCTACTGTATCACACAGCTCAGGATGCTATATATACATAAGATATTACACACTATAAAATTTCAGGTTTCTAAGCAGTTTTATACAATTTAAACTTGAGTAAAATTTGTATTTAAAAAAGACCTTATTGGATTACCTTCAGTAAACGGAGGTCATTTCAACAGCCCATTAGCATTTTTAGCAACAATTAAAAAAAATAAGTAAAAAGATTCTCCAAACAAGTAAGCTATTACTTTAAGCCTAGATAATTATCTGCTTATTTCAGTAAACCAACTTTCTAGTTTTAATCCACGTCTACTGGCCTTTTATTTGCCCTTAAAAAAAAAAAGAAGCAATAATTTTTACTTCTCTACAGTTTCTCAAATAAGAGGATTAGTTAGGTTTCAAACCATAGCACACAGTTAATGAGGGGGTCATTTAAGGATTATGTAGGAGTTGAGCAGAAGTTATTTAGGAAAGTTCTTAAGGAATGAAGTTCTTTGATGAGTTATATTTAAATTGCCAAGGCAATAGTGAAGTATGTCTTTACTCACCACTGTGGAGCTATCCCCTTATTTCCAAGTTCTGCTACTAATTCTCCTAACCCGCTAATATTCATCAGTTCTTGGTGTTAATTTCCCCATATGAGGTTTACTCTAAGCAGATACAAATGGTACTACTTTTTTAAAACTGAAAGTTCCTGCTGATTCAATTCTGGACTACATGAAAAGAAAGGAATCGATTCTGCTAATAATAAACATTTGTAAGCAGTTGACATCCCAGACAAACTTGCATTAAAAATACAATGCACTCCAATGATTAAAAGCAAAATGAATAGAGAATACATTGCAAACATTTTTTCATAATTATTTTTCCTCCTTTCTTCCTCATTTTCCATAGCATGCTGCAGACCATATAGTAAGTATTAAATAGAGTTTGTCACTGGTGTACGACCTAAGTCCAACTTATGCCTTCAAATGATATTTCGTTGAGGTTTAAACCAATGCTGAAGACAGGATTTGGTGTAAGAGATGTTAAACTTTTCTCTTTTAATGACAAAAGATTTGTAGTTATGAGGGTGTTCAGTATGCAGCTTTCAGCCTACCTTTTCCTCTTGTGACATTCCCTTCAAGGCACAAAAGATTATAAACAGTGGATGGGACAGAATATTTTGAAGTAAGAATTTTAAGGTTCCACAAAACCTTTCTATTTCTAGTTTAAGCATACCAAAAGACAGAGAAAAAATAATAGATAAACCACTTCCAAAATGAAATGCTTAAAGTCATCTGAAATTCCCTGCAGTTATTTTTTAATTGTTTAAATTTCTACTTTGTTAGCTTGAATGTAATTATAGATTTGAATCTTGTGATCTAGTTTTTTTATTAAATGTCGTGTTAAATATTTCCAGTCAACCAATATTACTAATTGTGTTCATCTTTGCAAAAGAAAAAATCTGTTTGATTTGGGTCTATCAAGTAACTTATGTTTGACTAGGGTGTGATCTTGAAAAGTTAAGCTGTAAATTTAAACAATGGGTAAGTGCAATGTACTGGAAAACTCTTCATTCAATAATTATCTAATAGGGCTTCTAGGCATCTCCAACCCAAATGACTGTATTTCCTTTCTCAACTTCAGTGATCTCACAGTTTAACTTATTGAGTCGTCCATCTAGTATAAAGAGAGAGTCCTTGGAAGGTGTCATCAGGTACTGACCAAACAAGCCACTGTCCTGGATTTGCCTGTTCTTCTGGTTCCAAGGCCATTCTTCTGCCTTGAGTGGTTCCTTAAGACTCTTTATCATCTTAACCTTCCCAGAGGAGAGCTCCACAAAGAGCACATCAGTTTGTGTGCTTGAACTACCATAAATGTTGTATTGGTGAGCTTCAGTAAAGGATGGCTGAAATGCCAGATCAGATATGTGCAGATTTGTGTGAATATCAAAAGCCTCCTGTATTTCTCCTCGGATGGTAATGTACTGGACCCTTACAAGACCTCTCACATCATTAATGCTGACAAGATAGTGCCCATCTGGAGAGACATATGGAGTGCCCGTCACATCGCTATTGAATCCAATGACTGAGTCGGTTACACTGTCCACCATAAGCTGTGGTGGAATTGCCCCAGTGCTGTCAGGTTTGCAGCCAATAAAGTAGTATCCTCCCAAGTGTGTATATGCCAATGACTGAGGAATGCACTTATAGTCCATCAAGTTAATTGTCTTGATGTATGACATGGTTTCAAGATCAATTTTTTGTAATGCAGCTTCATCTTTGTGAAGAATAAATCCAAACCTGAAAAGATGAAAACCAGAGTTAGACAGGAAACTACAGAGGGGTAATCCCGTATGAAAATGTACCATGGGCAGGTGGAAAGGGCCATTGCAAGTCCACACATTAATTGTCAGGCTATGCAGCAATTTGTGTCACGATCGTGTTAGAATTAAACTTTAAAATTTTGCCACCCTCCTCCTTCTCTAGGTCATTCCTTCATTACAGCTAAACAGTTGTAACTCATGGTGTAGAAAACAAAATAATTAAAAGTAATATATCTAGTTAATTGGAACAACAAATTTTACTTTTACCATACAGGGGGAAAAAGTAAAAATCATCTTGTGTGCCTCTAATCCTGATATTGAACAAGTTTGGTTTACTGCTACTAAAGTCAGCAAGAATAAAATACTTGAATATATAGGTATTTCACTCACTTCATTTCCTTCTTGTCTCATGACCAACAGAAAAATGTGACAGTCATCTCTACTTAGACAATTATCCACCACTTTCTACTTTCTCATTTTAATAAACTTTACAGGACTACCTTAATAAATGAAGATTTCTTTTTGCTAGAAAACTATTAAACTTCTATTTATTAGATTTTAGGATTACTTTGATTAACAACTTTTATGATTTTAACACTTATTATAAGTTTTAAATACAAGTTACATTTTTCAACTTTGCTATGCTTAAATTGTTATTGTTTCTGGTGGTATATCTAAGTTATATTGGTTATCTTATACTGAACAATGATAAACCTTAAAGATTTATGATATCTTCTGTTAAAGTTCATTTAAAAGTAAATATTTCTTATTTGTTTTGGTGTCCTCTTTAACTACTTCAGTATTTTTCACAGCATTTGTCTGGAATACTCGCTACAAATTATTATAAGTCCCTGTGATGAATGTAAATGTATTTTTAAACTGAGACCCATAAGACCAGTGGGTTCTTATGAAAAATAAGTAAGTTAAATAAGGTAAAATGAGATGGGGGCTACTATACGAAATTATATCTGAAAGGATACTGGTCAATGAAGAACTCTACTTTTTTTGCTAATAATATTGATTAAAACACAACCTAGTATTTGTTAATAATATTGTTATTATTTTTTGTTAATAATATTGATTAAAACACATCCTAATATTTTCAAAAGCTCCTTAAATATAAAAAAAAGGCATCTATTATTACACTGACTGTGCTTATAAATGAAAAAAAAAACAAATAAGATGACTTGTGACAATGTAAAACAAACAAAAACTCTAATGATAACCAATTATGTTATTGTCACCTGCAGGAATCATTTTCAATATGCTAATATTTACACAAAATTTTATTTATGTAAAAATGACCATTTCCACACATAACACACACATATAGTGCATTTGGGGTAATAGTTCCTGAAAATTTCAAATATAAGCACATGGCAAGCTCAAAAATATAAATAAACTCATCTTTAATATCATAGAGAAGATAAGATGAATGTTGTCAAACATCAGTCCTGTGTTGTAATTGTAGAAAGCAGCAAGTGCATAAGCACACTTTACTGAAATGGATATAAAGTTGTAACTGCTTCTATGTTCTCATATTATATATGGTTGGGAAACCATATTGTAATTTTCGCTATATTTGAACATTGGTGAAGAGACTATTTGTCCTTAGAGAGATTACAACTCCATCTATACAAAAGAAAAACTACAATGTATACCTAGTCCTTTTTTAAAAAAAGTTTTAAGCACTTATTGAACGTCTACCGAATACAAGGTGCTGGGAATATATTAAGGACCAACATATCTCTCCCTGCTTTTAATGAGTCTAGGAAATGATTAATAAAAAAAATGACAACTTAGTGATTAATGTTTAATTATAGCATTCTGCTATACTATGACTTAATTTAGTAATTATTAATTATTCTATTTACACGAGATGGAATAAAGTAATCATTTTGAAAATAACATTTCTGGTGTATTTCAGAATGACATTCACCATTTCGGCTTATTTCCTGGATCCTTCTCTCTCCTGTGTCCTTAATAACTATGTGTCATTTCAGTAAAGACAGCTCATACCATACCTATTTAGGATAAAGTTTTAGTTTTAATTATAATGATATGAAGAAACATTAATATTATTAAAAAACATGTCTTAGTTTTTCCACTAAAATATTAATAACCTAGCAAAGATCTTAAATACTACTGAATATTAAAAAATAGAAAAGAAACCAAACCTCAAACTGAAAACTGAGTCCCATTGTTTTTTGTCAACATCAAAAACACTGTAAAATCCTAGATATCACTCTCCACTCTCCTACTTGTCTTAATAAATAATTAACTTTGATTATTGTAAAGGGATATTTTTCCATTAATGGATAATCATTAAGGATATGCAAGTGTGTATATGATTGTATGTGCTATTATTTATGAAATTTTGAATAATAATGGAAGATATCGTCTTTTTTATGTTATGTGTTGTACATGTGCCCAGAGACAAAAGCAGTAACATTCACACTTAATAAAATCAATAAGCCAATCAAGTTTTGGCATTTCAGCTCCTCTCTTAACCTTGAGTCTTCCAGTCCCTTGGCAATGGTTTTTGAATGCTAATGAAGAAGAATGAGAAAGCTCCAACTACTCATGAACTATTTTAACTCTAATACTAAAGAATGCACTCAAGTTTTCTGTGATACAATCCGGCCTCTTTTGGAGGTAATTAAAATTTTAAAAAATGGTCCCGTTAAAAATGCAAAAGCTCCATGTGGGGTGATAAAATTACATCTATTTTGGCATCCATGCTGCATGCTCCTTTAGGACTAGAGATCTAGCTACATAAGCAGATGCATGAGAATGCCTTCAATTTTTCACTACTGATTTATTGGGTAGGAAGTGGTGTCTCTAATTCAAAATTTCCCTCTAGTACAGATTGATATTCAGAAATCTCCCACTGTTCATTAGTCTGTGATTAATATTTACGAGGCTCTCAACTTTCATGCCTGCTTAGTATAATAAAATCCTGCACAGTACTAGGCCTAACATAGTTTGTCTAATATTTGTCAGAATGTGTATAGGAAGTTCCAGACTGTAAGAAATGAGAGGTAAAACTTACTCTCGGAATCACTTCTTTTACTAGGAAATTAATAAACCTAGGAAAGTGTGACCTCCCAGCGCGGCATTGTGTGGATTTGTTGTTGGAGCTGGTGAGAATTAGAGCCATGTTTTTCTTTCCCAAATTTCTGAAGTGTAATCAATCTAGTTCATTATAGATGTTTTTAAAAAGTTCAACTTTAATTACTGCTTTTGTACTTTAAGGTGAGGTCCTGAACTGATTCATACAAGAGAACTTGTTTTGGAGGATGTAAAGGTTTTCAGTCCAGGCTGATTTAGTCTCATGATCCAGTTTTTCAAGGTAATAGATAGGTGACTTTGCGTAAAGTCCTCGACTGCCATGAGTTTCAATGTTTTCATTAGCAGAAAAAGAATAAAAGTACTACCTTGCTTTGAGGATAAAAGTGAAATGTGTGTTCTTACCAGGCAAACAGTACATCCTTAATAAATAGAACTTGCTTATGCTTTACACTGTAACTAACATCATTTTCCTATTGTCAATCAAATAGGATATTTCCTGTGGGACAGCAGATTGTTATAATTCATAAATGGGGAAAAGAAAAACAAATTGTTGATTTTTCTATATAGCCAGTATTCCCAGTTTTTAAAGATTTATTTATTTATTTATTTATTTATTTATTTATTTATTTTAATTTGTTTTGAAAGGGAGACAAGGAGAGAGAGTGGGGTAGGGGTAGAGAGAGAGGGGGAGAGAAAGAGATCTCTCAAACCATGAGATCATTACCTGAGCAGAAATCAAGAGTCAGACACTTAACTGACTGAGCCACCCAGGTGCCCCAGTCTTCCCAGCTTTTAAAATAAGCACATCATGTTACTCAAATGTGGCAAGATTTTTCTACTTGTGAATGTAGCAGAGATCACACTGACAATAGAAATTCACATTTTAATTCTTGCTCTCACTTGTGCCAACAGGATCTATGGCTGGAACACACCTCACCCAAAAACCAAGTCTCTCACATTGTTAGGAACGAAGGCGGTCAGCTCACTCCTTTGCTTGGAGGTGCTGTTTCAGTTGAGGGCCTGGAGCACTGAGTCATGGTGTGCTGGGTGATTTTGACGTCGGCATAGATGATGGGATTTGAAACAGATACCTGTCTTACTCAAGAATTTTCACTAAAAGTGAAATTCACTAAAAGAAAATTTTGTAGGCAGCTTTAGGACACGGATGTCTAAAGACACAGAGAACTGCAGTCAGAGTTTATGTCATGGCAATTCAAGAGCCTTGCAAGGGAAGTTATTTGGCAAAGGGGAAAGAACAGATACTTAGAGACAAACATGGCTGAAATACCATGAAGCCAAATAAAGAGCTGCTCAAAGACCTCCACATCCCACAAGACCAGGCTGCATTTTTTGCATTTGAGTAATGTTTGATTTCCCCAGATGTCTCACCCAGTTCCCAAATGAGTCTGATCACAGAGTCTCACAGAGCAATTTTCCAGTTATTGTCACCTCACATCATCTGCCGTGTTAGTTAGTCTGCCCCTATTCTGCTTTTTGAGATACTACTGAAGGAATTTCAGAATTACAATTAATAACCTGTATTACCTTTCATGGTCGGTGCCAAGAATGTTAATAATCCAAAGCTTGGGGTGAAAGAAACTCATAAGATTTGCAGAATAACAATTATTTTATCTCCTGAGTCTTAATTCCACCTTTCCCCAGAGTCCTCATAGATTCTCACCTGAACAGCTCGCCTTACTGCTGACTTTTAGTATTTACCCAGTGAGATCACTCCCCCCCCCCCCCGCCCCATACTACAAGCTGGGAAGTGTCCCTGATGCTCCCTCTCCATTCCTACATGACTTCTTTCCTCATACCCTACCATCTACACCTCCCCAGATTTAATTTTTTTTAACGTTTATTCATTTTTTGATAGAGAGAGACAGAGTATGAGTGGGGGAGGGGCAGAGAGAGAGGGAGACAGAATCCAGAGCAAGGTCCAGGCTCTGAGGTGACAGCACAGAGCCTGATGCGGGGCTCCAACTCATAAACTGTGAGATCATGACCTCAGCTGAAGTCGGACGTTTAACCAACTGAGCCACCCAGGTGTCCCTACACCTCCTTAGATTTTAAAACAAGTATTTCTATGTATATCAATGGATGCAAAGGGGAAGTTGTAAGTACAGATTGGATGTATTTGGGCATCGGATTCATCAGACACTCTATCCTGTTATAAAAACAGCACTGATGTCTATTACTGATGTCTCAGTAATAGAAACCATGTTCTTTGAAATAGAGCAGAATAATTTCAACAGCCCTAGGAATTAGTTGTATTGAGGCACAACATCCAAAACATATTATCATAATTAGTACTTCATAATAGTAGTGGGCAGGATTATTAATACCTTGTTTTTTTAATTGGATAATAAGTACCTTGTTTTTTTTTTTAAATTGGAAGGTAAGAGATGCTTAACAGATGATAAGAAACAAAAATTATAACTTCCTCTCCATATAATTAATATATAAACTCACATATACAATGTGCTGTTGAAATGACATCTTCCATTGTGTAACAGCTGACAGAGAGTTTTCATGGGCACAAAGCATAAATCTGACATGAGCCATTATTCACCAGTTTATGAATTCCTTTATATTTAGTTGTTTTCTATTATCCCAGACTGACCCTTGTAAGAAAAGATTGAATGCTGTTCCTACTCAAGTACCAGAGGATTTAGTTTTTATCTGAACTTCACATAAATAGCTCAGTAAAACACACCTGTTCATAAATAGTAGTCACATTCATATTCGGGATATGGGAAGCACAGAGAAATAAAATTGACACATTTAGTAGAGATTTATAACTAGGGCAAGGACAGTTTTTGAATAGACCTAATGCTTTGATGCGTTTGAGAAATGGTACTACTTTGAAGTTTTCTGTTTTCAAAACATAGGTTGGAAAAGCTAGAATGAACCACAGGATGCCTCCTGCCTGCCTTTTTAAAGTATATTATAGAAATTCTATAGTAAAGATTTTAACATTACTTCACCTACTTTCACTTTTAGAAATTTTTCCTTTAAAAAGTGGAATGTGTTTTGGAATACTAAATTCCCTATTGTCTTCCCTCTCTGGTACCCTATTGTTCTGATCTGTAGAAAGTTTGATTCTTCTAAGCCAAATCAAAACATAAATGCATAATTTGATTTCAGTATATTCATGATGTCTAATTGCTTGATAGAATTAATACAGTGTCTAGAGGTCTATCACTTCTAGTGTCCAGAACATTAAAAAATAAATAAATAAATAAATAAATAAATAAATAAATAAACAGACAGATTTATTAAGAATTCTGTGCACACCATATATACTACAGAACATATTTCAAAAACCAAAGTCCTCAACCTCTTTTTGAAGAGCTGAAAAACTTAGGGAAAAAACAAAACAAACAAACAAAAACAAAAAACAAAACACCCTGACACTGACACCTGTGCTTTCAGATGGCATTTTAAAAGTTTGGTTGCTTTTCTTAATTTGGTTTTGGAAAAACATGAAAATCTGAAAATAGGAGCCTCTTGAATCTTACCCATTTTTCTGATTAGGATATGTTTTATGCAGGAGTTGACAAATGGAGCAGGGATGCCAGAGTGGAAATGGAGTTAGTAATTAGAAGAAAGAAATAATTTGTGAATATAAAAGTGGAAATACAAAAGGAAAGTAAAACAAAGGCAAGAGCAAAATCTGTTAATAAAAAAAATACTACTGAAGTATCCATTGCATACCTACAAGAAACAAATAATGGGTGAGAAAAAGATTCAGTAGGAACTAGGTTTGTCATGAGTTGGGTTCTAGATACTGTATGACCAAATTCAATATTATTCACGCCCTGCTATGTTCAGTACACTTTGTACAACCTTATAAAGGAAATGGAGAGGAAATAAATGATTCCTATCCTTAAGGTAATTATAGTCAAACAGTGGGGTGCTTATAATTGTATGCCCTGACTTTCAAAAAGTGTTTAGGGAGCCTCTTCAAAGATGAGAGAAGGAATGGATATAGTTATATCCCTGTTTCAGCTACTAATTTACATTTCTGTTATGCTAGGCTTTCACTTGAAGAGAGAGTTTATATTAGTCTGGATCCCAGAAGGAAAGGAATAAATTTCAATTAGAATAAATCAAGGAGGGTGCAATAAAGAGTCTGTTTACAGTGAAATAGAAATTGGTCACAAGAGGCAGTGCAGTAATACGGGGAGAGTAATAATAAGGCTGTTGTCACTACTTTATCTGGGAAGGAAGGAGTTATATAGCGAGATGCCTCTTGTGAGTATCTGTCTCCTTTGATCTAAAGAAACAGCTGATTGCTTACAAAACAGCAGACATGGGGTGGGAGGAGTGGGGGAATAAGCAGTGGGAGGGTAGGGTGGATTCTATACTCTGGTCTCATGCTCCTTCTTCATGCAATCTCCAGTCAGGCTTTTCATTGACCCAAACAACCGGAAGCCATAGTATCCAGCCTTCTGGGATAGAAAGCAAGATAGTGAAGGCTAGAGTGTGTACCGGGGGATACAAATGCAAAGCAGCAGCCACAGATTTCCTTGGCCAAAGAGACTTGAAAAAAATGAATTCTAGTGAATATACAGAGCTATATCAAGTAAGGATTGTGACATGTGACATATACATTTAGTCTCTTTTTTTATAATATTTATTTATTTTTGAGAGAGAGAGAGAGAGAGAGAGAGAGAGAGAGATACAGAACACAAGTGGGAAGGGGGCAGCGAAAGAGGGAGACACAGAATCTGAAGCAGGCTCCAGGCTCTGAACTGTCAGCACAGAGCCTGATGTGGGGCTCAAACTCATGAACCGTTAGAGAACATGACCTGATCATGAGATTAACCGATTAACCGAATGAGCCACCCAGGTGCTCCTATATTTAGTTTCTAATTGGAATCATTTGACAACTGATAAAGAAAAATTGTGTAACTTTCCAAGCTGGGAGATGAGACATTATTTTTTAGGTGTATTTATTTATTTTGAGAGAGAGAGAGAGAGAGAGACAGAGAGAGAGAGGGAGAGAGAGGAGGGAACAGAGAGAGAGGGAGAGAGAGGAGGGGTTAAAGGGAGAGGGAGAGAGAGAATCCCAAGCAGGTTCCATGCTCAGCCCAGAGCTGGATGCTAGACTAAATCTCAGGACCTCAGCAGAGATCAGATGCTAAAGAGTCAGATGCTTAACTGACTAAGCCACTCAGGCGCTGGGGAGAAGGAACATTCTTGATTTTTTTTTTTTCCACCTGAAATAAATGCTTCTTTAGATAGCACTTTCTTATTTCTGGTAAAGCTTTAGAAAATGTCTCTTACCTTTCGTTACTGGTAAATATTTTCAGTAATTGTTGTGTAATAAATGTTTGTGTCCCCCCACCAGATCAAATTCATGTATTGAAGCCCTAATCCCCATTGTTTTTGGAGGTGGGGCCTTTTGGAAGAAATTAGGTTGTGAGGGTGAGCCTTCATGGATTAGATTCGTGCCCTTGTAAGAAGAGTCATAATAGAGATTTCTTGCTATCTCTGCCACGTGAGGACACAGTAAGATGATGGCAGTCTACAAATTTGGAAGAGGGCTCTGCCCAGAACCCAAACATGTTGACATCCTGACCTCTGACTTCCTAGCCTCCTGAACTATGATAAATAAATTTCCATTGTTTAAGACAGCCAGTCTGTGATATTTTGTTAAAGCAGCCTGAACTGGCTAAAGCAAACCTTTTATCAGAGAGGTGCTTCTACATTTCTTGAAATGGGGCTGAAGCATTGGAACTGGGTAAGGCATAGAGTCTTGAAAGGTTTTGAGGTGCATGCTAGAAAGTCAATACTGCTGTGTAGAGGCCACTAAAGACATTCCTGGTGAGGGCTCGGAAATAAAAGAGGAGGGCTGGAGAGAAAGCCTTCATCTTCTTAAATTTTTTTTTTCAACGTTTTATTTATTTTTGGGACAGAGAGAGACAGAGCATGAACGGGGAAGGGGCAGAGAGAGAGGGAGACACAGAATCGGAAACAGGCTCCAGGCTCGAACTCACGGCCCAGAGCCTGACGCGGGGCTCGAACTCACGGACCGCGAGATCGTGACCTGGCTGAAGTCGGAAGCTTAACCGACTGCGCCACCCAGGCGCCCCAAAAGCCTTCATCTTCTTAGAGAATTCATAAATAATCATAAACAGAATGTAGAAATATGGATGGTAAAGGCCACCCTGATGAGGTTTCAGATGGTAATGAGGAATATGTTATTGGAAACTGGAAGAAAGGCATTTCCTTACGGTAAATTGACAGAGAATTTAGTTAAACTACGGTAGTGTTCTAGCATTTTATGGAAAGTAGAACTTGAGAACGATGAAATTGGATAATCAGCTGAGATTTATAAGCCAAGTGTTGAAAGAGTGATTTGGTTTCTCCTGATACTTATAGTAAAGTGAGCAGAAATAAATGAATTAAAGAGAGAATTGTTAAGCAAAAAGGACCCAGAACATAAATATTTGGAAAAATTTTAGCCTGTCTATAATACAAAAAAAAAAAAAAAAAAAAAGGAAATGCTTGTTCAGAAAAGAACATTAAGGGTGGGGAAGACCAGCCCCTTAATAAGGAGGTTAACATAGTGTGAACCACAGAAGTAATCAGCTACCCCTGCAGGGAGAGTGCCAGTTTGAACTGAAGGGGATGGAGACTGGATGGAATGAAGGAAAGCTCTTAGATGTCCTGAATTTTATGGGATGAGCCCACACAGCTATTTTTAAAACTTTTTTTTAACATTTATTTATTTTTGAGAGACAGAGAGAGGCAGAGCATGAACAGGGGAAGGGGGGGGGAGAGAGAGAGAGAGAGAGAGAGAGAGAGAGAGAGAGAGAGAGATACAGAATCTGAAACAGGCTCCAGGATCTGAGCTGTTTGCTAGCACAGAGCCAGACGCGAGGCTCGAACTCATGAACTGCGAGACCATGACCTCAGTTGAAGTCAGACGCTCAACCAACTGAGCCACTCAGGCGCCCCTCCCACACGGCTATTTATCTGTGAACATGCATTATTATTCAAGGTAAAGGAAAAAAAAATGACTCCAAGGTGATTCAGTGATCATGAGGGCTACAGTCTCAGTTTGAAAGAGACAAAACATCGCCCAGAAGCTTGGGGGTGCAACCCTCACCCTACGGAGCTGCAGGGACATGGCCACCCACTGCAGTGGGTCTGGAAGTCAGAACATCAAGTCAAAAGGGGTTATTCTCAAGCCTTAAAATCTTAGGGAGTTTTACTTTCCTAAATTTTAGACTTGTCTGGGACTACTCACCACTTCCTTCTTATTTCTCCCATATGGAGTGGAATGTCTATCCTATGCCAGCACCATCATTTTATTTTGAAAGCACATAACATATTTGATTTCATAGGTTCACAGCTAGAGAACAATTTTGCCTCAGTGTGAATCAAAGTCTTTCCCATATCTAATTTAGATGACATTTAGTTAAGACTTTAGACTTTAGATTTGATGCTGGAACAAGTTAAGACCTTTGGGACTGTTGGAATAGAATGTGTGCATTTTGCATGTGAGAAAGACATGAATTTGAGGAATCAGGGGTGGAATGTTATGACTGAATTGTGTCTCCCCCACACCTCAAATTCGTATGTGGAAGGCCTAATCCCCAATGTGATATTATTTGGAGGTGGAGCTTTGGGGAGGAAATTCGGTCATGAGGGTAGAGCCCTCCTTAATGGGAATGGTGCCCTTAAGAGAAGAGACATGGAGATATGATCTCTCTCACTGTCAGCCATGGGAGGACACAGCTTAAGGCAGCTATCTGCAGATCAGGGAAAGGGCTCGCCACCGAAACTCGAGCGTGTTGGCAGCCTGATATCTGACTTCCCAACCTCTAGAAATACGAGAAATAAACTTCTGTTGTTTGAGCCATCCAGTCCACGGTACTTTGTTAAATTAGCAGAACTAAGTTAGAAATCTGTGGTAAAAGTTATGCACATGATTAATACCAGTGGTTGTATTATTATTTTCCCATTACTTTTACATTTTCTTTAGGTAAAGCTGCATGAGTAATTTGTGTTTAACAAGCTAAAAGTTTATAAAATATGTTTAGAAATTTACCTGTATTTGGTAATTTTTAAAATTTTCTTAATCTGTGTATATGTTCTCAGTATGCAGAGTAAGGGAAAGGGGAGGACTTTGTTTTATTTTGTTTTGTTTGCATTTTTTTATTCATATAAATGATGAAGTGGTGTATATCTCATACGGTGTGTTTTGTTCTTTCAGCACTACATTTTAAAGATATATTCGTGTTACTCTGCATATTTACTATACTGCTTTATAGTCACTCATAGGAAACCTATAGTAATATCCACCATATTTTACTTAATCACTTCCTTAATAATAAGTGTACTCATGTGGCTTCATTAAATTGGTGGGTGGGTTGGTGGCTGAACTTAGCAAGAAAGCCTGAGATGGATGAGCCTTCCTCTCTCCATGTGGTTTTCTGTCCTTCAAGGATGTTCACAAGACTTCCATCAAAGGTGACTGCAACATTCTAAAAGGGAAAGCTCCTGTCAAGCCTTTGCCTCACTTGTGTTTGCTTATGTTCCTGGAAAGAAATAACATGCTTAGGGGCAATGTGCAAGGAGAGTCACCAAAAGCATTGATACTGGGAGATAGGATTCACTGGAGATCATTATCATAAAAAAGTATCATATAAGGTAACGGCTCAGTTTTTTTTAATTCTTTTTCTTTAATTTTTTTTAATGTTGATTTATTTTTGAGAGAGAGAGAGTCAGTGGAGGAGGGGCAGAGAGAGATGGAGACACAGAATCTGAAGCAGGCTCCAGACTCCGAGCTGTCAGCACAGAGCCTGACCCAGGGCTCAAACTCCCAAACCATGAGATCATGACCTGAGCCGAACTGACTGAGGCCCCCCTTATTTTTTTTTATTCTTAAGACAGTTACCTATTAGCACTATTTTATTGAATAGTCCATCATTTCCCATTGATTTGGAGTGTCACTTGTTGGCCTACATGCATTTTGTCTATGTCTGAATGTTCTGTTTCTTTCAGCAGTCTTTCTCTTTCCTCATACTTTTTGCACTATTTTATTCATTGAGCCTATATAATATGTATAAATATCCAGGAGAATGAATCTAACAATTTTCTTTCTCAAAACTTATTGGCTATTTGAGTGAGTGCGTGTGTATGTGTCTGTGTGTGTGTGTATCTGTGTTTGTGTGCCTGAGTGTGTGCGATGTTACGTAAACTTTTCAGTTTATCAGGTTAGAACATGATTAGAACTTTTATCTGATGAGGCACCTGGGGAGCTCAGTGGGTTAAGCATCTAACTTCTGACCTCAGCTCAGGTCATGATCTCAGGATTCTCTTGACTTGGAGCCCCGCCTCTGGCTCTATGCTGACAGAGTGGCCTGCTTGGGATTCTCTCTTTGCCCTTCCTTCCCTACCCTTTTCCTCCCCCTTCTCCCCACGCACTCTCTCTCTTTCTCTCTCTATCAAAATAAATAAATAAACTAAAAAAATTAAAATGTTGATATATGAGGTGTTTATTAATTTACATAGTAACTGAGTTTTAACATTTTTAAAATAATATGATATGTATTTCTATTTATCTGATTTATTTTTTAATTTGATTCATTTTTAATTGTTGTATCAAGAAAAATTAATTTTTTCTTGGGTATATTCATAGATATTTTACCTTTTACTTGCTAATAATAATAGATTCTTTTTTCCATTATATCTCCTGATTGGTTTCGTTCATATGCATAAAGTTATTAATTTCTGATATTAATTTTGTGCCCCTTAACATTTTGAATTTCTTTGTTTTAGGTCTCCAGCCTATATTCTACTGTTATTTATATTCAGTCATATCATTTTTAGAGATGGATAATTTTACCTCCTCTTTTCTAACCAAATTAAGTCTTCATTTTTATCATTGCAGTGGCTAGTACTTTCCTCTTATTTTTAAAATATATATTTCTGGGGCGCCTGGGTGGCTCAGTCGGTTAAGCGTCCGACTTTGGCTCAGGTCATGATCTCAGGGTCCGTGAGTTCGAGCCCCGTGTCGGGCTCTGTGCTGACAGCTCAGAGCCTGGAGCCTGCTTCGGAATCTGTGTCTCCCTCTCTCTCTGACCCTCCCCCGTTCATGCTCTGTCTCTCTCTGTCTTAAAAAAATAAATAAGCATTAAAAAAATTAAAAACAAAATAAAATATATATTTCAAAATTGGCCTTAATCTAGTGGTGTTTCAACAATACATAAAAATATTGATGGAAAGAATAAAAATTTCAGAAGCAGACATATGTGTTATGTGAAAGTTAAAATATAATAATAATAATAATAATAATAATGGTTTATTAAAACTGTAGAGAAGATATAGGCTACATTGTATGTTGAGATAATCACCTATCTAATAAGAAAAATGTATATATAACTCATTTTCTGTGTAAAATAATACCTAGAGAGGTGAAAGAGTTAAAATTACACTAATACTAAATAGTATTAAAAGATTGGTATTAAACAACAGTATAATAACAGCATTAAATGCATCAACAATTTAAATATTGGGGAAGATGATACCTTTTAAAGAAAAACCCCACATTCTTAAAGTCTAGAGGTGAAGCTTGATAAAGGTGATTATATTTTAAAAATGAACAATGGTTAATGCAATC